TTATACTGAATGTTTTATTTTTGTTGTGTTTTCAGGTTGAGCCGTTCACTCCCAAACAGTAGTAGCTTTGTGTTTTGGAATCTGCTGCACACACTCCCCCAGCTCACTCAGGACTGTGCAGCTTCACTGCAGCATTTGGAAAAACTTCACCAACTGGCAACAAATTTGGACTTGGTGCCAAAAACTTAGAGGGAGGCTGTTCATGCAGGATTAAAGGATCATATTTGTGCGAGCAGATTCCAAGATGCAAAATTTATCCCATGTGTGTCTCAGGAGCTCAAATCGACAGTATTTAAACTGTAACAGCGATCACACTCCCACAGGCCTTTACACACAGTCTCTGGTCACACTCCACAGTCCTTTACACACACTCTGTGATCACACTCCTCAGTCCTTTACACACACTCTGTGATCACACTCCACAGTCCTTTACACACAGTCTCTGGTCACACTCCTCAGTCCTTTACACACAGTCTGTGATCACACTCCTCAGTCCTTTACACACAGTCTGTGATCACACTCCTCAGTCCTTTACACACAGTCTGTGATCACACTCCACAGTCCTTTACACACAGTCTGTGATCACACTCCACAGTCCTTTACACACAGTCTGTGATCACACTCCACAGTCCTTTACACACACTCTGTGATCACACTCCCACAGGCCTTTACACACAGTCTCTGGTCACACTCCTCAGTCCTTTACACACAGTCTGTGATCACACTCCTCAGTCCTTTACACACACTCTGTGATCACACTCCTCAGTCCTTTACACACACTCTGTGTTCACACTCCTCAGTCCTTTACACACACTCTGTGATCACACTCCACAGTCCTTTACACACACTCTGTGATCACACTCCTCAGTCTTTACACACAGTCTCTGGTCACACTCCCACAGTCCTTTACACACAGTCTCTGGTCACACTCCTCAGTCCTTTACACACAGTCTGTGATCACACTCCTCAGTTCTTTACACACAGTCTGTGATCACACTCCACAGTCCTTTACACACACTCTGTGATCACACTCCTCAGTCCTTTACACACAGTCTGTGATCACACTCCTCAGTCCTTTACACACAGTCTCTGGTCACACTCCACAGTCCTTTACACACAGTGTGTTTGTGTAACGTGTGACTCTTTGTGTGTCTCAGGTTTTGGGATGTTCCTTCGTCCTCGTCACAAACAACAGTTTAAAAACCTGCTGGAGTCGCTCATCGGCCGCTGCACCGACGACTCGGAGGAAACTCCTGCACTAATAAACACTGACCACTCTGGTCACTCTGGTCACTCTGGTCACTCTGGTCACTCTGGTCACTCTGGTGAGTTTAGACACAATATGAGGCAACAACAAAATAGATCTGTTTGTCTGTGTCTTTCTTAAACGACTCACTGAAGCTCTCGTGTTTTTCTTTTCCAGCTCCAGTGAAAACTCAAAGCAAAATCTCCACTTTCTTCTCGAGTCAGAGGAGGTGATGAGCGTCAGGTTTGGGTTGAACTTTAAACGCTGCTCCTCAAACAGACTTTACTCGAGTATTTGCACACGTGACGGTCGGACTTCTGCGCACAGACCTGGATTTTAAAGATGAACAGACTGAGATGGACCTGACCTGGAGAACGGACCAAAAGGAGGATTATGTCGTTTATGGATTCACTTTTTTATCTTAGTATAAAAAAATCTAAAAATAAATGGTTATAATATTTAAATGATGTGATTGTGTTGGTTCTGTTGAAGAAAGTTTTGCTCTTTATATATATTATTAGTGATGGGCCAAACGAGTCGAGTCGTCAAGGCGCTCGGAGAGTGACGCGTGTGGAGCTGTGTCTCTGTGTCTCTGTGTCTCTGTGTGCGTCACTTTCAGAGTCCGTATAAAGAAATGGACACAACTAACACTTTATCCACCGCGTTCCAAACAGGAAGTGCTCCTTCTGACTCTGGCCTCGGCAGTTTGCTCTTAAATGTTCAGATTATGACACAGGATCATGAATTTTTTATTTCTCTATTTTGTCCCTAAATCTAAATTTGAACATAAATAACGGACCAATCAGACGCCTTAATTCCCCGAGGCCCCTCCCACTAGTGTTAGCAACAGGTTTGATTGACAGCTTGTGCACTCCTTCCTGCTCTCCGCTGAGAAGGGCGGGACATTTAACCTCCTCCGTCGTGATTGGCTCTTGTGTTGCTATGAGACTCGCGGCAGATTTACAAATATTGAGCCTATAACCGCGGCAACGGGAGCTTCGTTTGAGCTGAACTCTGTGGAGACGACGACACGCTCGATTAGCAGAGGCGGAGCTGTCATTAGGCAACAGTAAGCGTCCAGCGAGGGGCCCCCGAACCTGGAGGGGCCCCCAACCAATGTCCCTCAGAGCTACTAACGACTGAGGCCTCAGAGCAATTTGATTTTCTCTCAGTATGACTTTAAATGAGAGTATTTTTACTTTTAAATGAGAAAACATCAAGTATCTGATTGTCAAATCCATTCTTACTGTCAAAGAATTTCCCTCGTCACGTTAGAATGGACTCGTCACATTGACCCTGATTTGAACAGAATCACAGCAGAATCATAATCGTATGTAATGGATGTAAACAAAACTGTAATTGTACTGGCAAAAAAACAAAACTACTTTTAGTTCTGGTTTTCTAAAAGGAGACTGAACTAATAAGAAAAGTTTCTAATCCAACATAATTCAAATAGAGCTGTGCGTGTGGGGATGGGGAAAAACAGACAAACATAAAAACAATAAAACAAAAAAACATTGCCTAGGGCCCCCAAATTGTAAACTCCACCACTGTCTCTTAGAACTTCTCTTATACAGACTGTTTATGGCAAATCCTTTTAACATTTAAACACTTTGACTATCTGGAATTAACATTGTACATATCGACAACGTCTTTTGAACTAGTTATAATTTTTTTGCCGTGCAGCCGTCACAGACTCACTCTGCCCTCTGCTGGTCACACTGTGTATAACAATGACAGTGCAGATCAGGAGAACACGCCCAAGTTCTGAAATAAAAACACAGAGTGAAGCACAGAGCCACTCTGTCAAACATGGGGAACAACAGCTCTCTCATGATGCTGAGGATTCCTCCCTGGACGTCAAAAAGCTGCATGCGGAACTTCTGCAGCTACGAGCCGAGGTGAAGGAGCTTTCAGACTGAAAACCAGGGTAAACTTCTACACTTTAGAAGAATATGTATATATGTGTATGTATGTATGTATGTATTATTATTATTATTAGTAGTATTTGTGTGTATGTTTTTTTGTTTTTTATTATTGTTTTTTTATTATTGTTTTTATTATTATTATTATTATTATTATTATTATTTATTTCACATTACACTGAAATGAGCTCAAGCTGCTGAAAAACAAGGGGAGTCAAGAAGCAGGCCGGTTTATATATTTATACACACACACACACGCTTTGTAATATTCATATTAATTATTTAGTCAAATAAATATATAGTAATAAATAAGTTGTTTTTTCAGTAAGTTCATGTTAATTAATTCCATTTTATTTTGGTTTGATTTGTTCTTTTCTATAGTTCTGACTGTGTCGGCATTGAGACGTGTGAAGACATGTGGACGACTCCTGTCTGAATAAATGTTTGTTAAAACCAAAGAATGATTTTGAGCCTCGTTTAAACTCGAGGGGAGTAACAACACGTCTATGGTTTATCTTAATAAATACTGTTCTTAATGTCCTAATGTCTCTTTTCAGTGAAGAAAGTGGCTTTCTCTGCTGCGTTGCTGGAGAAAGGTGATCAGATGTTTGGACCGTTTAATGCTGATACGACTCTTGTGTATAAATATGTTACTACAAACATTGGAAATGGCTACAACCCAGTAACAGGTAAATGAACCTAAACAAAAAACTCCAAGCTTCGTCTTTATAATTCTGTTCAAAACCTCCTGTAGGCATCTTCACAGCTCCGGTTAAAGGAGTGTACCACTTTCAGTTTTTTGCGCAGTGCTGTAGTCATCCAGCTGAAGCTTATCTGATGAAGAACGGGTGTGGTGTGTTTATGGCCCATGAGAGCAGTGAGGGCGGGTCCACCTCTGCGGGGAACGCAGTCTCACTCTCTCTGGACCTTGGAGATGTGGTTTATGTCGTTTTACCTTGCGGCCGCAAACTTCACGACAACGACCATCACCACAACACGTTCAGCGGTCACCTGCTCTTCACACTGTGATGTGCCGCTCACAGGGGCAGCAGTCGGGACCTCCAGACTTCCCTCACCCCAGACATCCTCCAGGGATTGAGAATCATGTTGACATATCAAAGCACGCGATAATAAATAAAACTTTAATGTCTTAAGAGGTAGAGGACTTTTCTTTCTTTCTTTCTTAAAGGTTGTATAGAGGATTTTCCAAGGAACGAGAAATCCAGCGACTGTTTGTCCTTTTTCAAATGTTGCGCATGCGTGAAACCACCCCCCCTCCCCTACAGCTCCTACGTAGAAACGCCTTCTCCCGCCTCCTCTTTACGCCAGAAACAGGTTTGTTTACAGCCGGTGAGCTGCACATGACTTGTAAACAACTAACTACAGTGTTGGTTAGGCAAGGCGGAGAAGTGAGGAGCGGGGGGAGCGGGTGTGCGGACATTTCGTTCGCGGACGAGAAGTGAGGAGCAGGGAGAAGAGCGGAGCAGGGAGAGAGGAGAGAGGAGAGAGGAGAGGGGAGGGGAGCGGTGCGCGGAGATTCCGTGCCCGTAGAAGTGAGGAGAAGGGGGAAGAGCGGAACGGGCAGCGGGGACAGGAGTAGGAAAGGGAGCAGAGAAGGTTGCGCGGAGATTCAGTGCGAATGAACTAGCTACAACACGCAGCAGCAAGCGGACTCTTTCTTTGCCTTGAAAATTACGTTTTCAGACATAGGATATCGCTTTCGTGTCCTGAAAAACGTTTGACTAGCTCTTGGAAATAAAGTACGTTTTCATAATAAGCAGAAGTTACCTGTCCAGGAGTAATTTGGCGACCAATGCGTCAGTCTTTAGACCCTTCGTCTGCTTCAGTTGCGCCATCGCTGGAATGAATCTACAAGAATCACCTTAGTTTGGCTTCGCTGCTTTTCCCCTTGTCTTCTTCTTTCAGCGACCTCAAAAACGGACTTTCTTTTGCGGCTAACTGCTCCTGGATTCTTGTCTGCCATTGCAACAAACTTTGTGCTAACTGCGAGGAAGATATAGGTCAAAAAAAGCCGCTAAGAACTGTTGCGTTGGTGGAGTAAACAGCGTCTGTGCGTCTTGCGTCTGTGGACTGCGTGACAGGCGTACGTAAACCACGTACCGGCGGCGCGCAGGCAAGTCAGTTACGCTAGAAACGTAGGGAGTTTGATTGACAGCCTGTCAGCTAACAGATAACGAGGCAATGTCGTTATCTATTGGCAAATGTTTAGCTGGCCCCACCACGTCCAGAGTTGATGAATTTTTATTCTCTTTTTTTTGGTCATCATAATTACAAGGCTACTGCACCTCTATAATGCTATCATTGACAACTTGAAACAAAAAAAACAAAAAAAAAATCCTCCATACAACCTTTAAATGAATGTTTTATATCCACTGTCTGATAAAAGGAGTTTTGAAGCTCCTGAGCAGGTGAAACATGAAAGGAAAACTGTAGCACACAGATTTTCAGTCAAATCCACCATTCTGACAAGAATCAGGATCAGATTTGACTTAATGACAAGAACAACTACAGGTTTAAAATCTACAAAATAAACTAGAGTCGTCTCAAAAACCGACTCAACTACAGTGACTTTGCACGATCGATTATAATGTTCGACTACTACACAAGTCCACGCCAGGTCCATCCCAGGTCCATCCCAGGTCAACCCCAGGTCCATCCCAGGTCCACTCCAGGTGAGTCCAAAGTGGAGCTCACTACAGATTTACTCAAACAACTACAGTATTTTACTTTTTACTCTCATTTTCACCTCGTCATGTGTCACGTATTTTATTTAGTTTATTATCCAGTCGGCTGTGATTTTCTTTGATTCTGCATCAGTTTCGTGGTCGGTTCTTTCGTGTGTTGATCTCAGAGCGTCAGACGTGTTCACGTGTCTGAAGGATCGAGTCTGTGACGCGTCTGCAAAGGAAACAGGTCATTTTTTAAACCACCAGATGGCACCTTGAGGCCTCATCGACCTACAGTACGGCATTAAACCTTTCTAACCAAAACCTGACCAAACCAGACCAAGTTCCAGGTCAGATCTGTGGAGGCGACCCCACTCACAGTTACAATGTCTGTTTTTTCAGGTAATTTTGAGCTGGAAAAACACCTGTAATTGAATAAATGTAAAGTAGAGCTGCTTAATGTCACACTGTGGAACATTCCAGACAATGGAATGACGTATCCATAGAAACAAACTAGTGAAAAGTTACACAATGCAGCTTTAAGACGACCTTTTACTTGATAAACCTGGATCAGTGGATCATTTCAAGAACAGACCATTTGGAACATATGAAAAGTTCAGTTTTTTTATTCATATCTTATAATAAGGAACGTTACAAATGTATGTAAACCTAGTTTTTAAGTTTTGAAGCAAGCCAGCAACCGTCCGATCCCTGCTCTGATAAATACAGCAAATCCTCTTTCACACCACAGGAAAAAATGACATTTTAAATGAGCTCATCCACACAACAGCAAAGGTCCCCTAAAAACACAGACAAAAGCAGAGGGCGGGTCTGGACTCTCCGGGGGTCTGGACTCTCGGGGTCTGGACTCTCGGGGTCTGGACTCTCCGGGGGTCTGGACTCTCCGGGGTCTGGACTCTCCGGGGGTCTGGACTCTCCGGGGGTCTGGACTCTCCGGGGGTCTGGACTCTCCGGGGTCTGGACTCTCCGAGGGTCTGGACTCTCGAGGGTCTTTGGACTGGGGCTGTGGTTCAGTTCTCAGGGTTCCCACTTTTGTCTCTGACAAAATTTCACAACTTTTTCCATGACTTTTTCATGAGCTTAAGTGAATTTTTCAGGACTTTCCAGCACCTACATGTGTAGAACTGATCAGACTTTTAGGTCTAAATCTGAAATGTGACTCTTTCCACTCACCTTATGGTTTGGGATTATAGTTTTTGAACATTCTAAATCCTGTCAGTGCATTTATTATTATTTACTGTCGTCTCTTTTAAACAAAAGACTCAGACGTTCACAAATAATCAGAACAGACTCATGAGAACTGAACACAACACTGGAGCTGCAGGAAACAGACTGAAATTCCATGACTTTGCTAAAACTTTCATTGAATTTACTAAATTTCAAATTCCCATGACTTCTCCAGGATTTCCATGACCGTGGGACCCCTGAGTACAACAGCCCCCCTCACACTGTCCCCCTCACACACACACACACACACTCCTCTCACACACAAATACACAGGTGTGGCAGACTGCGCCCCCCCCCCAAACACACACACACACACACACACACACACACAGAGCCCCCCCCAAACACACACGGCGAAGGAGAAACTCAATTTGTCGACTGGAGAAACGTTTATTTAGGCTGAATATGTTTCTCAGCTGCTTCTTCAGTTCTGGTCAGACGCTGGTGACTCTTCCTTATATCTGTCTGCAGGAGCTAACTACACTGAAACTCCTCTGAAACTAACACACACACACTTGTTTACAGTTTGTGTTTGTAGCTCGGCCGATCGTCTCTATTCAGGCTTCCGTCACAAACCAGGAAAACGTTTGGAAACATGTGGTGAAACTTGAAGTAAACGTGTCAGTGGTAAAATGAAGCCTGCAGACGTATGAGCCGTTTGGAATCATCTGGTCTCTTCTAGTCACACGTTCCCAGTGCGATCGGAGTCGTCTGTCAGCGGAAAAATGATGAAAACTGAGGTGTGGCTGGAAATGTTGATCAGCTGAACAGAATGGAACGACACAACAACATGGAGATGAAGAAAACTGGGACATTTTCTCATTTTTCCTACATTTTGTCAGACCTACGACCAGGAATAGAACCCATAAGGAAGTTGTAATCATGTTTCCAAAC